TCCATTTTTTCTTGCACACGACTGAGTCTGGTGCAGAAAACGAACCAGTCGGGTTTCAATTTTTCCATGTGTGTGTGACACACACACATACTGACATCATCGCGAAAACATTCAGGGAATATTTTGTATGTTACTGGGCAATGAACACAAATTTTGTGTCAAACTCGTCATTAATATAACATCAACTTTGTGTTGACAGCCCGTCGATTCTTCACTTTACGCAGCAAACGTTTTCACGAAAATATAATAAATATTAAATAATAAAGACAATTAAATTTATATGACACTTAAGTTAGTAGACGTCTAAAAATTTTTAATTTTTTTTATTACATAAATTACAACTAAAAAGATATTTCTAAAAAATTGCACTTCTAGTTTTTAAAGTTTTTTAGATGTGACATTTTTTTTTTTTAATTGTTAAATTGAAATTTTTTCAATAAAAAATTTCTAAAAGTTTTAAAATGTCGGTTAACTTCATTTTCATAAATTTATAACTCTGCTGCTTCACTTTTAAAACCTATAAATTATTTTTTGATTTAATTATTAAAAATTTTTCATACTTTCTTCCTTCCAATTATTTATAGTCGGTATTTGTTGATGTTTCGTTAAAATGTAAATGATAGAAAAAAAACATTTTTAAATAAATATTATTTACTGCAGTTGAGGAAATAAAAAAAAATTATTTTATAGGTTATGTTATAGGCATCAAACAGTTGATGAAAATAAATAAATTTATTTAACATTTATTTTGTGTTAAGATTGACACACTTTAGAAGTGTATGATTCTTTGCGCCCTCTTGTGGCGATATTTCAACATAATCTTTGTGTTAAAAAGGGGTTACACAAAATTTGTGTTGAAATTTCAACACATATTTTGTGTCAACCGTTTTTAACACACAAACTGTGTTGATTTTACACAATATTTTTTACTTTGTCGTTAAGCACTCTCTGATGCTTCGCATCATGAGTCGTGTAAAATTGCGCTGATAGTTTTTCAAATTTTTTTACATTTGAAATTTGTAGTTTAATTTTTTTGTAATAATTTTTTCAGTAAGGAAAATCATAAAAATTATCAGATGTCGACTGACTTTATTTTTAAATAGAAATAAGAGAAGAATTTCATTAAAGAAGTCATTTTTCTTAAAAAAAATAGTTATTATTGGTTTTTTGAACTTATTGTTGTAATTATAAATCTTTTTTGAAAAGTTTCTCATAAAAATGTTATTTTTAATTTATTATTATCATTATCATATGAAACTGTCGGAAATTTATTAATTTTTTTCAATTTTAATTAATTAATTTGTATGAATTTTTTTATTGCCAATTTATTTATAAAAAAAAATCTTAAAGATTATCAAATTTCTAATAATATCAGTAAATTTATATTATTCTAATTGTTAAAATATTTATAGATTGACTTGCAACAAGACTGAGATTTAGCGGGACATTGAGAAAAGAGTGCCAAGTATATGCGCAGAAGAGCTTATTTGGGCTTCTGCGCATTTCAGCCGAGTGCTTATTTGCTGGTTGCTTGTCGGACGCCTGAGCTCGCGATTGCTGCTGCCCCCGCGGCACGAGTACCGCAATCGGGGACATCTGAGTGATCCGAACGGAAATGTAGCCAATGTAATTATTGTAAAGGAATTCAAAAAGTAACTTGCTCTCTAACAAGTTATATACATTTAATACTTCATACATAACACTTAATATATGTCAAATAATAGTAAATTCTATATAATAAAATACACACATTAAAACATTTAAATATCATATTTATGAAAAAAATTAAACTGTAACCCATGAAACATTACAAAAGAACGACAATTGATCTGTCTTCTAAGTCTTCTAAGTCATAAGAAA